CGGGGGTGGGGGGGGGGGGGGGGAGAAAACCAAGCAATTTTACCCTTCTTTCCCCTTCCTTCCTCCTCTCTACCCTCCTTAAAACTCCCAAACAAGGTGAAAGCCTCATTTCTCTTCCCCTCCCCCTCTCTACCCTCCATCCAAACAGGGCATTAGAGAAACTCCACTAGATAAAAAAGCAAGAGAATGCCACTGATGGTGTATGCAAGCTCCTTAAAAAAAAAAAGAGGGGGCCTAAGTTACAAAATGGAGTAAATATGTATGTCGATTTATTTGGCAGATTGCCCTTCATTGAAAATAAACCCTCAATAGTAAAAAAGAAAAACCCAAATTTAATTTCTATGATTTTCCCAAAGCTCCCTAAATTCTATGCTTATCACAGTTTTCAATTGTTTGAGCAATTTCCATCGAAGAAATTACCTGACAAAAACATACACTAGCAGTCTCCTTCTTTGTACGAGGACGACTTAATTTATGTTCTTTTCATGTAAAAATTTGTGATTGCAAAGATGATTTGCTTCAGAATTGAAGAATAAGAAGAGAATAAATGATATCTAATAAGGAGCAAGAGATAGGCAAAATTGTAATTAATACGATGGATTTTAATTAGTGGTTGAGGAGTTGGCGGGGGGGGGGGGGGTGGGGTTGCTTTGAGAGAGAATAGGTGGTTAATGGAGTCTTGCGAGTCGGAGGCATTGCAATTTGATTCAAAATGGTAATTTGAGAGAGAGAGCAATTTGATTCAAAAGGGTAATTTGAGAGAGAGAGAGAGAGAGAGAGAGAGAGAGAGAGAGAGAGAGATTACAATTTAATTTTGAAATGTAATTTTGGAAAGAGATTGCAATTTAATTTTGAAATGTAATTTGGTTTTTTACCTATCTATTATTAACTCAAACTCAATTATGGTTAGGGGATTTTAACATATTTTCTAACTGAGAGACTGATATCAACACATTAATTTAGGGACTAATATCAAAATTCAATGATTTGGGAGACTAATATCAAAATACCAAATATTTAAGGGACTACCATTGGAAAACCTTTTTTTTTTGGTATTATACAGCTTATATCATGACTATTTGCAAAAATGCCCGTCAGCTCTTAGTATTTGCAAAATTACCCATCAAATTATCAACTTTGTAAAAAGACACCTCGGAAATTAACAAATCATCGGCTTGATACTACAATTTTGATGATTTCATTGATAATTTTTACATTGTGATTACAAAGTAACTTCTCAAAGTCGATGATTAGTTGCATTGAGGTTTTTTTTTTCAAAATTGATGTTTTGACGGGTTGTCTTGCAAATAATGAGATGTGGAGGGTATTTTTGCAAATACCCAGATTCAAGGGGTATATATGTAAATAACTTTTTTTTTGAAACCACATGGTATTTAAGTTCAATTGATAATTTCTGCGAAAAAGAAAGTGTAATTAATAATAAAGATGGAAATTTGAGATATTTTTAAGAGCGACACTAGTGGCACATCCCAAGCACACCCTCTCTCTCATTTCTTACAGTGCATCGGGCCCCACATGATATTTTAAAAATTTAAAATCTCATGTGGGGGCCGGTGCACTGTAACAAATGAGAGAAAAGATGTGATTGGGGTTGTGATTGGGGTGTGCCCCTATCATTTTTCTATTTTTAATTGCTAAATTAGCCTTACCCATTTATTTTGTCCGAGTGGTGGGTCGGATCCAATCCACTTCAATTCGTGCCGAACCTTCAAACCTTTTACCCAACCACCTCTCTCTCTCTCTCTCTCTCAAGTCAAAAAGCCAGCGCACGAGGAAGGAGGAGGCTCTCTCTCTCTCTCTCTCTCTCTCTCTCTCTCTCTTTTTATTTAATTAATATAAAGAAAAAGAACCATCAACAACTCCAACCCCCAAAACTCACGGGCTTCTCCTCTTCAAACCGACCTCCTTTTATTTTCCCTTACCCTTTTGAGAGAGAGAGAGAGAGAGAGAGAGAGAGAGAGCTTAACGGGTTCGGGCCAACAATGGATCCGAGCGCAGGCGACGGAGCTCACAGCATACAAGGAGTCCACACCCATGGCGGTCGCTACGTCCAGTACAATGTGTACGGCAATCTGTTCGAGGTCTCCACCAAGTACGTGCCTCCTTTGAGGCCCATGGGCCGAGGGGCTTACGGTATCGTCTGGTGAGTGAGTCTTGTCGTGCTTTTGATCCACTTCTGGGTCTTAATCGGGGAAGAAATGGGATGCACTGTTGGTGATTGAGTAATTTTCTCACTGAGTTTTATTGGGGTTTTTTTTTGGGGTGGTGAACTTGGTCGAGAAATGGGTTTTTGTTACATTTCTGGTGTAGGGGGGGGACCTGTCTTCACTGTTTTTGGGGATTTTGTCAGATTGAGAATTCTAGGAATTGTTAGGGGTTTAATGTTATGCGCCGACTATATTAACTGCGTTTGGTCCAACTATTTGATCAGAGTATAGGTTACTTGATGTTACCAATAACTGACCCAAAATTTTGCTAGACATTAAGCTGTTGGATTTTAGATTGCGCATTTTGTGAAGGATTTGACCATCGCAAACAATTGGGAAAGATATAGATATAGATGCGAACAGGTAAATTCTGTATCACTGATTCACTATAGATATAGATATGTGTGTGTATACATCATGATAGAATATAAACCTATCCCATTTAATGATATCTTTTTCATATACCTCAAACTGACTATGATGGTAACATTAGTTTGTGCTAAAACAAATAATAAATTTCATAAATAACATCTGCAACTTGACAGCAACTTGACATTGTTTAGCTATACAAGAAAGTTGCCATCAAGAAACACAACCCTAATGAAATGCAATGGACCTTGATTTCTTATTGTTCGGTAGAATAGTGTATTTAAGCTAGTTGAAATGACACTCATATTTGACGGCACAGACTTTTATAGGATCAGAAAAAGTTTATATTCTAAGATCTTCAAGCAGACCACATCGAGATGATGCACGCTTACTAAAGCTGAAAATATGGGATCATAGTTTGCTTCAGCTCAGGAGCAAGAATATAGTTGGATTAGTTTCTTCCACTTTTGTCAGATGAGGCAATTGGCCAATAAAAACACACCATCTAGTCGTCAAACAGCACTTGCAAGTTCTTAGTGATTCAATTCTCAGCTAAATCTCAGTATAATGAATCCTATGTCAACAAATTTAACCCTTGATCATTTGGTCTTAGTTAATTAGTTTAGCTTTTATGTAGGAAGTACTGAAATATTTAATTTTGTTGTAGCTAATGTTCTGCAAAAAATGTTTTACTTCCCTTTTTGAATCATGAATTGGTTAACAAGCATCTTCTCTCATGCAGTGCTGCTGTAAATTCACAGACTCGTGAGGAGGTTGCTATTAAGAAGATTGGGAATGCATTTGATAATCGAATTGATGCCAAAAGGACTTTAAGAGAGATAAAACTTCTTCGTCACATGGATCATGAAAATGTAATGTTCAACGCCACATCAGAACTTTTTAATTCTAAAGCTTTTCCTCAGGTTGACTAATAGATGTGTTCCTAATTTTGACAAAGTAAACATAGTTGGCACCATAGTTGTTTTATTTTCAGCATGAAATTGTTATTAACTGAAGAGTATTTTACGGCCCGGTCGCAGGTAATTTCCATCAAAGACATCATACGACCTCCACGTAGAGAAAGCTTCAATGATGTTTACATTGTTTATGAGCTGATGGATACTGATCTTCATCAGATCATACGTTCCAACCAAGCATTGAATGATGACCACTGCCAGGTATGTATGGGTTAATCTATTTTGTTTGGCAATTTTTTTTAAATATCTTTAAAGTATTCGATATATCCCTATTTGTTTGTTTATCTAGATGGTCCTCTGTCATTTTAACTCGGTAATTGTTTATGTATTCCTTGCTAAGAACTCATTTCCTCTAGTCCTAAACTGCTAACTTGTTTTGGATCATAATATGATGGTAGATAGCATTTCCTTCACACGTCAATACCGATAAATCAAATTCTATCTACTATTCATGATATGTTTATGCCATCTGATCTTATCAACTGAACAAAGGATATCTACTTTCATCCGTTTACCTCTCCTATGAAATACCAGTTTGTTCAGAATTGCAGTGTGGATTCTCTTGGTCTCAGTATCATGCATCATCTCATGGATGCTTGTTCTATTTATCTGCAGTATTTTCTATATCAGTTACTGAGAGGGCTGAAGTATGTGCACTCAGCAAGTGTATTGCACCGGGATCTTAAACCTAGCAATTTACTTTTGAATGCAAATTGTGACCTGAAAATAGCAGATTTTGGCCTAGCAAGAACAACAACCGAAACCGATTTCATGACGGAATATGTTGTCACTCGGTGGTATCGTGCTCCGGAGCTGCTTCTTAATTGTTCAGAATACACAGCTGCTATCGATATTTGGTCAGTTGGGTGCATACTTGGTGAAATTGCAACCCGGCAGCCGTTATTTCCAGGAAAAGATTATGTGCATCAATTAAGATTGATTACCGAGGTACAATTTGAGATCTTTTCAGTGATTACATCGATGTATTTAAATGTACTGGTGTATTATTCAGCATGAAGTAATTCATAGTTTCCTAAATGCGTTTTGTATCTGCAGTTTCATATAGATTTATAATGCAAATATCATATAATTTAAGCAATCTTCAGCTTAAGATTTCTTGTCATTCCAAGTTTCATAGCACTGGTAGACCGACTAATGCTTAAATCCTGCCATAACAGCTTCCTTGTCTCCTAAATGCTATGAAGCACGGACACGCATAACATGAAGCCGTGTCGTGTCGTGTCTGTGTCGGACACACGTGTCGAACACACGTATCCTATGTATTTTTTAGGATTTGTCTCGTGTCGGCGTGTCGGATGGCCGTGTCAGATCCGTGTCCGTGCTACATAGCCTAAATGTTCTTTCTTTTTGTTGGCTGTGCAGACAGAAATTTCTTGAGTTCACTAGTTAATGAAGAAAAAGAAAAAGATTAGCATATATAAATCTTTGTACTTATTTCTAGTAACTTTGACATCTTTTCATTCTTTTCTCTTGATGAAGTTAATAGGTTCACCAGATGACTCAAGCCTCGGATTTCTCCGAAGTGATAATGCTCGAAGATACGTGAGACAACTTCCTCAATACCCAAGACAGCAATTTCCTGCTAGATTTCCCAACATGTCAGCTGGAGCCGTTGATTTGCTTGAAAAAATGCTTGTGTTTGATCCAAGCAAGAGAATAACAGGTATTCAATATTCTAATACTTGGTGAATCTCTCTCTAAATTTGCCTCTTAGAGGAACTATAATTTTCTTTTATCATGCAGTTGAGGAGGCTCTTCATCACCCATATTTAGCATCTCTTCATGACATAAATGACGAGCCTGTTTGCCCCGCTCCTTTTGTTTTTGATTTCGAGCAACCATCATTTACTGAAGAAGATATAAAGGAGCTAATTTGGAGGGAGTCTCTGAAGTTCAATCCTGACCCAGCACACTAGGTTAAATTTCGGTGAGTCTTATGTAAAGGGTTAATTGATCGCTGAACCACTGCCCAGTTTCTGATAGACCCTTGTAGTTTTATTTTTGTAGATAAACCCCTTGAGCGTATTGTTTTGACTCTTTATCAAAATAAAAAATCATTCAGTGGGTCTATCTCCAACAGTATAACTACAGGGGCCTATCCGCAATTAAACTTAAATTTATTGCCCTTGATAAATTTTCTGAAGCTTATCTTCTTGAACAACCTGTTCGTAATCATTAGTTCATGCTGGGGAATCGCTTCTGACTGTAAGAAGTGTTCTCTTTTCTTTTGTGACAAAATCTGTGAATGTTTTATTGTTAAATTTTCTCATGTTGCCAATTCTTTTATTTTTTTTCAGGAGAATGTTTATTAGGCCAATGTTGAAGCCAGGAAAGCTGATTCAAGAGATAATGGCATGCTAAAGTTCTCTGGAGAGATGAGTGTAAAGTTCTTTTTGTGTGTATAAATAAGATTTCAACAAATAAGCGTATGAGTTTAGAGAGTATTGACAGATATTCTATTTGATTGGTATCGTTACACTCAAAGCCATTTGTAGTGTAGGTTTTATGGTTTGACTTCATATTTAAAGCAATTCCTGCAGTACTTATTTGTGTATTTTCTTTCTTGGGTATTTTTGGATCAGGAAAAATCATTTATTTATCATCATCACATTGGCTAATTGCACATAAACCCCTGTAGGAAAAGTCATTTACTTACTATCAGTGTAGTATCATTGTTTCAGATAGACCCGTAGTTTCGTTGTTGCAGATAGAACCCACGGATTAAACTCCTTTCTGACTCTCTTACCTTCAGAGACTCGCACACTCACTCGGGGGAATATCTGAAGTTTCCGTCAAAAACATGAACTGAGGGGTCTATGAATATCTGAAGTTTCCGTCAAAAACATGAACTGAGGGGTCTATCTGCAACAATAAAACTAAAGAGGTAGTAAGTTCAAAACAACCATACTACATGGATCTATATGCAACTTAAACCCTGTTACATTCCTGGCGTGGGGTATGATCTCGCAGTGCACTTGTATTGATCAGCAAGAAAATTCCCATAACTTGGTTTACACAACCATACTACATGGATCTATATGCAACTTAAACCCTGTTACATTCCTGGCGTGGGGTATGATCTCGCAGTGCACTTGTATTGATCAGCAAGAAAATTCCCATAACTTGGTTTTACACAAACATCACACAAACATCACACAAACTCAGAGAGTTATCATCCAAACTTCAAGCGCTACTTGTATATGAGCACTCCTTGAACACGACATCATCAATGGGCAACCTATCCTCACGAAACGGACACTCTCCTCCTCCAAGCCCTCCACCTCCCAACTCCTCGCACGGCGTCGGAGACACGGTACTCGAAACCCCTTCAACATTCTCACAAAACCACTGTACTTTCTTCGCCTTCACCGCCGTCCTCACCGTTACATTCGACATGCAAATCCCCGAAAACGTATCGTTCGCTATCCCCTCCAACCTCGCGGCCATCGACACATTCTCAGCAACGACGTCCCTGTAACTGATATTCGCAATAATCGGCATCGCATTAAGATCGTATTTATCATCTGGATGGGATTTATAGTTGCCGGTCATCCAGAACACCCATTTCATCGTGTGGAGTTGCATTCCCTTGATGAAGATGTTTTTGACGAAGGCGCCTCGGCCTACGGCGGTTTTGATGCGGACAGCGGATTCGGTGTCGATGGCGGTTATGTCCTCGGCTCGGACGTCTTGAATACCGCCGGACATCTCGCTGCCAAGGGCGATNGATGATGATGTGCTCGCTCGGTATTCCGACGGAGATGCCGTACTCATCCCAGCCGCTCTTTATGGCGACGCAGTCGTCCCCGGAGACTATGTAGCAGTCTTCGATTCGGACGTTGGAGCATGAGTCTGGGATATCAGATTGCCCAAGTTTCAGTCAAACAAATACGTTGAGAGGGATGCACAGTTTGTTGCTATCTATGGATTTGAGGAAATCTTGAAACTTACACGCCAACTAAGATTCAGGTCGTACGTCAGTTTTTCTATATTCACGTCCTTTTTTTTGGGAAAAAAAATTATATTTCTCTTTATGAAGATTTACTGTTACTATCTTTAATAGAGCTGCAGAAAATCCTTTCTGAAGTTTTAAAACAAACCCTTGATTGCTGCAATCCCCTTTTGATTCTCTTCTCTTTCTTTTTCTCTCGTCCAACAGGATCATGTAGATATCAAATGACCCGATTAGCTAAGAAAATGTTAGTTTTAAGACTTATAAAAATGATTCTATTCTTCCTACAAACTTTTAGAGGGATTTTCTGTAACTTAGATCCCATAGTTCTCTCTTGGAGGAAAAAAAAAAAAAAAGGGAAGGGGTTTTGAAGATTTAGTACCTGGATTTATCCCGTCTGTGTTTGGAGAACGTGTTGGTGCCAGAATCGTGATGCCCGAGACTATAATGTTGCTGAAACATTCAAAAAAAAAAAAAATTCCCTTCTTTTATGAGCATATATAAAATCAAATAACAATGTCAAGATTAAATTTACTCCATTAAGATATATAAACTGAACCTGCTGTACACCGGATGAATGTTCCAAGCAGGAGAATTAACGAAAGTGAGGTTGGATATCGTAATCTCACTGGAGTACATTAGTTCAACCAAATATCCTCGAGTGTATTTGAGTTTCTTGCTGTGAAATTTCTGCCACCAGAACGATCCTTGTCCATCAACTGTTCCATTGTTCCCTACGAAAACATTTTCGGACCAGTTCTCAGTATCGAACGCTGTCAAGACGTTGAAGGTCATGTATAGTTTTGTTAAGAGCGTTTGTGAGTACCCGTGATGATGACATCGGTGAGGTTCGATCCTCCGATGAGGCTGCTGTATCTTCCTCCCGGTCCATCTCTTCCTCTGCCGTATGAAGGCAGAGGATCGATCACTGGCCATTCGTTAATGTCCTGCAACAGGCGTGTAGGATTAGCGATGGACAGAACTTCCACACATTGATAAGAGGAGTAATGGCGCCCCTGATTTCGCAGCGAAATTTGCTAGGATGTACTGAAAGTTTTTCTCGTTCCCCCGTACCAAACATAAACATTTTTTTAGAAGTTGGAATGCTCTTTCCCACTTTTTGTGGGAATGAGCATTCCAAGTGAATTGACGAGGAATGAGCATTCCCATTCAAGTGTGAATCAAATTAGTTACGTAATTTCCAATTACATACCCATTGATAACAAAAAAAATCTAAAAATCTTGTCTTATTGAGCGACAGACATAACCATATTAATTACGTATGAACAATTACTTAAGATGTTTATCCTTAGGCATGCATATATATAGGGAAATAGATTCTAGGATAGAAACACGAAATATTGCCTATTTTTATGAAGTTTATTTTTAAAAATAAAATTATTTAGTTATTATTATTAACATCATAAATCTTTCACTTTCAATTTTTTGTTTGGTAGAATTGAGGTGAGGAATCCATGAAAAGATAAAGAGCGTGACTAACCGCTTGCATGACGGATGCGCGGATAATAATGACGAGTTAAGTGGGGCGGTCGCACCCCTAACAATTAATATGAAATTTACAATTTGCCCTCCGTAATTTTTGAAGTATTTCAATTTAGCCTGTTAAGGGTGTTGCTTTATAATATTGTATTTTAATTTTTTGGATAAATAGGTACTCTCACCCTCCCGCCCCCACCGAAAGAGATTTTCTGACTATGCAAATTAATAGGGGTGTTGCTACAGGGACCCAAACAGGGGATCCAAGGCATAGGACAGGTGAGGTGTCACCATCCGGTTACATGATGCACTATTTATGAATAGTGTATCATGCAACCGGAACACCTCACATGTCTCATGCCTTGGGTCCCCATTTGGGTCATTGAGGCATTAATGAATTAATAGTCATACAACAGTAAAGTAAAAAATAAAAATTTAAAAATAAACAGATCATCCCGTGACGAGAGAGAGAGAGAATCGCGCGAGGGACATTCGCCCGTGAAGAGAGAGAGAGAGAGAGAGAGGAAAAAAACAAAAGCGGTGACCGAGACGCGAGGATGACGGCGTCACGGCTGCAAGAAAACAGCGTGAAATGACGTCGTCAGATTTAACGGCCTCCCAGTCAACATCAACCGCCGGCCCGCCGGCACGTACAGGATCCCCCGCCGTCGACCCCGAACTGGCAGGTGGTCGACCGCGCTTTCCGAGACGCCCTGGTGTTGGAAGTGACACGCCGTCGCCGACGCTCCCCGAAGTCCGTTAGCGAGGCGCGAGTGGCCCTACAGTTTGGTCGCCATCGATAGCGCTGATTCGACCGTGGGCCGCCTCGCGCTCTCGTACGTGGCCGGCGGCTTCGCTGCCCGCGTCGTGGAAGGCGGCGGGGGCTAGAGGCGCGCCGGCTGTTGCAGCACAGCGTGAGGACCTGAGAGACATTAATAATTAGTCAGTGAGCGCCGGTTTTTTTTTAATGATGCAAAATTTTCAGAACATTTGCGATCAATTTTTTTTTATTTTTTTCTTTAGTTGTTACTGAGATGTCTATTTTGGACATGTAATTTATTAATTCAGCAAAAAATAAGAAAATCAAAATATAAGGGAAATAAAATAAAATAAAATAAAATAAAATCGCATGCTCCTAAATTCGCATTCTGATGGTGAACGCGCATGACATGTAAAAAGGTCCCTTTTCGTGACAAAAACATGAACAATGTAATTTTCTTTTCAGATATATAGCCCAAAATTAAGAAATCAAAGAAATGGGTTTAGTATCGACATTTTTCTTTTTTTTAAAATTTAAAAACAATATATATATAATACGTATTTGGGAGAGGGAGAGCGAAATTACTGGGAATATTGCGAAGCTCCTCCTTTGTCTCTCCACCTCCATCTTTAGAAATGAGAATGAAAAAGAGTGGGGAGTTGGATGTGTTATTTATAGTGGCGTTATGGGGTTAAATATTTACCACTTAGATCCTCCACTCTTCTTAATTTGATTCCTTAAATAATTTTTAATGGAAGGTGAAAGCGTGCACTGTACAGCTATTGGGTCATAGTTCAAAAAAAAAAGGGGGTGGAGAAGGAATCCATGGTTCGAAAAGCTTGAGTTCATGCATGGTAGCTCATCGGCATCACGAAACATGTCACAGGGAATTTCTACTATAATCACATGTATCGTGTTTGGAAAAAATTGGACAAGGTGCAAAACTTAGAAATTTGATGGGTGGAAAATGGTAACAACAAACTATTTGACATTAGTTTGCTGCCAAACATGAAATTTTTAGTCCGCCTGATCGACGAGCGTATGCTTGTTGTAGGTTCAACTCTAGCTGGGTACACTTTTGAAAAGTAAAAAAAGGGGCAACTTTTTTGATAAACTTGAGAATTTTTACGATTAAAAAAAGAATAAATTTTCACTGTAGACCCAAATCATCTTTTAATTACCAAAATCGACTCATTTTTTTTAATTACCAAAATCGACCCACTTTATGCCACGTAAGCTTAATCACATTTCCTAATTAGTCGGGGTTGCCAACCCTGACTGTTTAGGGCATTAAAAATCATGTTTAAGGCTTCTAATTGCGGTTTAACAACTCCTAAACAGTCGGGGTTGGTAACCTCGACTAATTAGGAAATAAGATTAAGCTTACGTGGCATAAAATGGGTCGATTTTGGTAATTAAAAAAAAATAGGTCGATTTTGGTAATTAAAACTTGGTTTGAGTCTACGGTGACATTTTGCACTCAAAAGCCTCAGATATCTGAAAATTGTTACATTTGACTCAGCAAGTACTTTTATACCTCAATGACTTCTTACTAGTGGGTTGCACAGTGTTCTTCTTTTTAAATTCAATAGTGATTCTATAAAAAGGCCACTTTATGTCGAGAGCAGGTTGTTTTTAATTAAAATTTTAAGCAGATATTTTTTTCTAATTTTCATTTTCAAGGGGAATCTTTCACGGATTGTCACAACCCACAAAATCCAAAGAATATGCCCACCTCAAAGTTACGGCGGACTCACGGGCGAAATTATAGGTCCCACTTATGCTACATTTTTATATCACTCTCACATCATTTTGGACTAGCACGCTTAATGGGACTTGTATTTGTTTAGGAAAAGATTTGATTCAGACTAATCACAGTTGATATAGAAAGAAATTATGTGGTATAATTCAGAGTCCCTAAAATTTCAGCTACAAGAGAGCTTGAAATCTCTAGATATCTACATTTTCTTTCCACCTAATTTCAAAAGGGTGGTGCTACAGGGACCCAAAAACATGGGACCCTATATGCGACATGTGAGGTGTCGGTTCTGTCCCATGATGCACTGTTCATGAACAGTGCATCATGGGACAGTGAGCCGACACCTAATATGTCCCACGTAGGGTTCGTGAACAGTGTATTATGGGACAGGGAGCCGACACCTCACCTATCCTATGTTTTTGGGTCCCTAAGGCATTTTTCATTTCGAAAACATGAGACTTGCATAGTACGTAAGTATACTTTGTGGAATTTCATCATTCATTTAACATTGTATTTGTCAACAAACCCATCTCGAAGTTTTCTAATGTATGTTGCAAAACCACAAAGAGATCGAGAACTTTTGAACCAGTGATTTCTTCACAATGTATTATTTCTTCACAAGAAACAACAAATAACAAGTACTTTCTTAAATCATTAGCAAAATAATGGAGAGGGAATCCACTAACTTTCCACCATCTTCACGAGCAAGCAAAAACTAAGTACATTATATAACCATATATAATGCGATGTCCTTTGCTTTTTCTCCTTTGCGCGCATGCTCTCTAGCTTCCTAGTGCTAAAGACTAACCAACAAACCGCCCAATAGAAATTATGCTCCATCTCCATGCTTGTGAGGATAAAAGGAGAAGTTGTGCAACTAGAGAGCCCATTGACTAAAGTCTTATCCTCTCTTCCTCTCTCTCTCTCTCTCTCTCTCTCTCTCTCTCTCTCTAATTGATGAAAAAGTTATTACTTGCTCGCATGCTTGCTTGCTTGGCTCCCATGTATATGTCCACTAGCGTGCTTTATTTGGATTTAGAGTAGAAGACATGCGTTGTAATTAAGATGAGGTTCTTTTCTCTTGCATTGAGTTTTCAAAAAAATGAGGGATATGGTTCCAACTTACGGAAAGGAGACAAACTGCGGAGTTTTTATAGAATTGAAAACTATATATGTGGAGTAATAATAAGCGAAGATAGAAATAAATTATTCGTGTCGTTGGAAAAGGACTTGGTGACAAATACATTGAATAAAAAGGACACATGACTTGATGTTGATAAAAACCTATCCTAACCATCCAATCTATCTAATCCAATGGCCTACATTTCGATGACAGAATTGAAAATATAGACAAATCTAATACACATCAGCTGTAAAGAATAATGTGAAAATGGTAAAATTAGAACGAACAATGGTGGTTGGCAACATTGGAAACTGGAGATAATTATTAAAACATTGGAAACTGCAGCTCACGTGAATTAAAGAGCTCGAGCTCTCCCAAATTGAGATCCCCAAATTTCCTCCTGAGCTCTCCCTCCCCCTGCGCTCTAGCTCACGCCGACGAGTCTCGACGAGCGCGTCGACGCCGAGGACCCTCGACGAGCTCCCCTCGACCAGCTTCTCGCCGACGCCAAAGACCCTCGACCAGTTATCTCCCAACGACGTCGAAGACCCTCGAACAGATCGTCGACGCCAATCAGACTCTCGACCCGCTTTTCGACGAAGCCCCTCGACGAGCTCCCCTAGACGACCCTCGACCAGTTATCTCCCAACGACGTCGAAGACCCTCGAACAGATCGCCGACGGCAATCAGACTCTCGACCCGCTTTTAGACGAAGCCCCTCGACGAGCTCCCCTCGACCGGCTTCTCGAAGACGCCGAAGACGCTGAAGCCCCGTCGCCGACGCCGCTCTCTCTCTCTAGATTCGCTGGAGTGAATCTGGATTCACTCCAGTGAATCTGGATTCACTCCAGTGAATCTGGATTCACTCCAGTGAATCGAGATTCATTGGAGTGAATCGAGAGCCATATCTAGTTAATATTTATTTAGTTATTGTTCATAAGTTAGAGTTAATATTTATTTAATTGTTGTTCACAAGTTGGTGGTCTTGTTGTGCTGTGTTGCTGCTGATGTGCTGTTGTGCTGCTACTGAAGTGAAACTGGATTCGCTGGAGTGAATCTGGATTCAATCCACTGAATCTGGATTCACTCAAGCGAATCTGAATTCATTGGTTGTTTGTTGCCCCTATTTTATGAAGAGACATGTCTGTGAAACAATGAATACGAAGGGATGAAGTTTCTTTCGCATCAGTGACTATTTGAAGTGAAGTGAATCTCGATTCACTACTTCAGTGAATTGAAAATGGCAGAATTAAAAATAAATACATTTTAAATACACATCACCTGTCAAAATTAATGTAAAAGGGGTAATTTAAGAAAGATTCATTAAGGAAACACATACACATCACCTGTCAAAATTAATGTAAAAGGGGTAATTTAAGAAAGATTCATTAAGGAAACACACTGTAATTAATTATCCAAGGGGTAATTTAAGAAAGATTCATTAAGGAAACACACTGTAATTAATTATCCAGTCAAACACTCCATTTCCCGAAACACACTGTAATTAATTAGCAATAATTCCCAAAAACAATAACGCTCGAGATGAAGAAAAACAACTGAAGTGAATCTCGATTACAATGATTCTCGATTCACTGGAGTGAATCTGGATTTTTTTTTTGGGTTGCCTGAACCGTGAGATCACATGGGGAAATGGAAAACTAAACTTGCATTTATTATTTAATTATTTAATTGTAGGAAATAAAATTACAGCACATGCATTTATTTCTTACTCTTGCATGAAGAACTCAACAGACAAGCATTAATTACCTCTCTTTGGGGGCTGTTAATTTTACCTGATTACCCTTATGCAGCTTTAATCTCAGCCATTGGATGAATCAAGATCCAATGGAGAGATTCACTCCAGTGACTCTAGATTTTTTTTTGGGTTGCCTGAGCCGTGAGATCACATGGGGAAATGGAAAACTAAACTTGCATTTATTATTTAATTATTTAATTGTTGGAAATAAAATTACAGCACATGCATTTATTTCTTACTCTTGCATGGAGAACTCAACAGACAAGCATTAATTACCTCTCTTTGGGGGCTGTTAATTTTACCTGATTACCCTTATGCAGCTTTAATCTCAGCCATTGGATGAATCAAGATCCAATGGAGAGGATTGGTTTTTAGTTTTTAGGATAGTGAAGTTTTTATTTGAACCTCTCCCTATATATATACAAACATATATTATACATATATAAGAGAGTGTATACTTATATATACTTATATAAGAGAGAGTATACATATATAAGAGAGAGTATGTATACTTATATACTAAGAGAGAGTATATATATACACACATATGGCATATTATACTTATATAGAAATATATTATATATACATATATTATACATATATAAAAATATATTATATATACATATATTATACATATATAATATAATACATATAAAAAATAAAAATAAAAAAAAT